CAGAGTCATCAGTTTCTTCCTCTCTCCAAGTCCCAAGTCCTGCTTCTGATCTAGCTTCTCCTTCCTAGTACTACCCCAGGGGACCAGGCAGGGAGACACTGGCCTGGAAAGAGGCCATTCTTCCCAGCATGCTGCCTGAATCCCATGTAGGACATAGTCAGGCTTCTGGTAAGTTGGGAGAGGTTGAGGGACCTTGAAGGTGCCCGGTGCACTTCCTGCCTGCATCACCTGCACATGCAACAGAGCCAATCAAACTGACTCGGATTGGAAAATGCTGTAGAGAGGCTCCTATACTGTGGGCCTTAGTTACACACTGCCAGGCACTGTTAAAGAGCACAGGTGTTCTCATAGGATAGCAGATACCAGCTATTTCATGTTCATCTCTTTTTTCCAGTTGCTTCTTCACTCTGGGTCATCACTCGCCCGGATCACTTGCCTTTACTTTCTGCCCTAGAAGTCCAGATGGTCAGGTGTCAGGTAGAAGTGCTCAGCTGTTGGCTGCTGCTCACAAGTGCCTCTTGTCTCCTGGCTCTGCTCTTAGGCAACAGAGAGGGAGGCTAGGTTTGCAGGTTAAGCTCTTCTATGAGGAGCAGGATGTTACTACCCAAGGCACTCTCCAGCCCACCCCAAAGTTGCAGGATCACTGAGCAGTATGCCCTTCCCTCAAAAGCCAGTGTGGCAATCAGTACCCTCAGGGCATATACCTTGCTGGTCTCATGGGATTGACCCATTTCCTGATAGAACTGTATTTGATATATTCATCTACCTTCATGGGTATGTCTGAGCTCTGTATCTACAGGAGACCTCACACCCGAGACCTATGAAATCTGTTTTGTTAGAATCACATCTTTTGCTGGCTAACAGATAGTGAAGGGCTGCCCTCTGCAGCGGGACAGAACTACTCTGATGGGGAGGCCATGCATCCCCTTCAGCCCCAGGCATTTCCTGGCAGCCACAGTGCACTATGTCCAAAGGTGCTTACTCCCTGCACTGGGAGGAAGGAGCTGCAGACAATCCCCTCAGAGAACCCCACACATCTACTCAGCACATGTAACACAGCTCATTTTCTTTTCTTCCTTTTGTTTTTGCTTTGTTTTGAGACAGGGTCTCTTTGCAGAGAGCCCTGGTTAGCTCCGGAACTCGCTATCTAGATCAGGCTGGCCTTAAACTCACAGAGATCCTCCTGCCTCTGCCTCCCAGAGCCTTCCTCACCACACCTGGCCTAAGCCTATTTTGTTAAATGTTACAATTTATTAAAGAGGGGCTGGTAGTTTCACTAACATTGTATTTAAATTCTTTACTAATTATAATAAAATATATTTAATTCCTACATTAGTTTGGCTTTCTTTTTTCTAAGATATTTTTGAAGTCAAACACAATAGAACTTATAAAAAGTTTCTAAAAAGCCCATAGTAGAAGCCTCAACTGGACTGCCCTGCACCCTTTGGAGGGTGCTCATCAGTCAGCCACTGCAAACACAATGCCTATGAGTCTCCATGTTACAGCCACATTGCCCAGAGGGCTCTTGCTCTTATTGTTCCTAGAGTAGATATTTCTGTCTGAAAGAAAATTACCCTGAAATATGTGGACTGACGTTCTCAGAGGGGGGGAAAACCACCTACCTTAAACATTCTACAAGGCTGATAGACTGATTAGAACGTCAGTGACTGTGGAGAGATGGAATTTATAGGCCGGGGAACAAATTATCTTGAGTTATCTTAAGTCCTCCAAATAGCCATTTATTGCCCACTCCTGTATGTGGCCTGCCATCTTTGCGGCTACTAGGTAAATCCTTTTGGAATGTACAAACAGACCCCTTAGATTTCATCAACCTCAAAGCTAAGAATGCCATCAGGTGATGTCTGAGGTCACAGGAAAGGCATTTTGTTTTAACCCAGCTACTGATGTTACCATCAAGATATTTAAAAAGTGCCTTGATTTGTGATTTCCTTTGTTCTGCTGGTAAAAATATTGCATAAAACTGTTGCAGCATTGGAACGCAGTGTTCGGGTAACTTGAATCTACTCCAGAGCAAAGCTCATGTTTGGCTATAGAGTAGACAAACTGTCCTTATTCCCTTTCAGGTGAGCATGGTGTATTCTGCCTGAGGAAGCTGAGTGATTTGCTATGGAATGTGCTGGTCGTTCTTCTTTTCTGTGAGCTCTGCAGCGGCCATCTGTAATTGTTCCAAAGAGGCTTTGATCACTGGTATCAATCAGGCTCTGCTTCTGTGTGTCATGATGCTCCCTGCTGTCTGCGTGTTCAGACTCTCTACTCATTCTGACCCTGTAGTGTGTCCAGAACACTTGGGGGACTCCTCGCCCTGTGGAAAGCACTAGAGAGTGTGGAGTCACTTCGTTGATACAGGAAGACTGGCTCATTCTGGTGTTATCCACCTGCCCCTCATTCTGAGTCCTGAGCACCACTTGGCTACCTTTTTAAAGGAAGCAAGTTCTTCCAGTGGGGAAGCTGTCCTTGTTCTTCAAGCTGTGTGGCTCTCCTGGTTACAGAATTTGGCTCAAAAGGCCCAGTGGACCCTGGTGGAATCTCCTACACTGTGTTCACCCATCCCAGCCTTGCCTCAGAGCAAATGAAAGCAGAAGGCATGGAATGAGTTTCTGACCTCTGGAAAACCAAAGTATATGTGTGAGTTTGTCAGACGGGCGGAGGTGGGCTTGAGAAAAGCATGGTCTTTGTGTGACATCGGGGAAACCCAGAGCCCTGTAGTAGTAGACTTACCAAGAAAGAACCTGCCCCTCCAGAGTCTTGGCCTCCACCACCCACCAGGCTCAGCCCTAGGATACAGGTTGGTCTTCCGCAGGAATTTTGTTGATCATTTTCCTGCTCCTCAGGAGAAAGGTCCCTGAGCCAACACTGTTTAGGAGTTGTTGAGCCTCATTTATGTCCTGCCTGCTCTGGTCTCTGAATGGTTTCCTGATTTGTTTTCAGGAAAACCTCAGTGGAGACTTTTTAATTTTTGCAAGACAAAAGACAAGGAAAGAGAGAAAAGGTGGGGACACACACACAAACACACACACACACACACACACACACACACACACACACACACAGAGAGAGAGAGAGAGAGAGAGAGAGAGAGAGAGAGAGAGAGAGAGAGAGAGAGAGATGAGCACAGATTTTGTAGCAGCATGGCTTTCATGGTTGGCTTACACAGCTGGGTAGACAAGCCCAAATGCATCTATTTAATGAGGTACATTTGACCCCCCCCCCACCTGCACAGCTTCAGAGAGAGAAGGTTCCGGCAAGAACATGGACGTGGCATGGAGCTTATGCCATCTCACCAGAAGCAGCGGTAGGGATGCAGGGTTGTGTCTGGTCAGGGGGTTTCATCAGGACTCTGAGTAGCCCTCATAGGTCAAGGGTCTGCTTCCCCTCACCTCAGGAACAACGAGGCAACATACCCAGTGTTAGAAGTATATAGCTACCTTATTTTTCTGGGGCCCACAGCTAAGCGATTACCTTGAATCTTTGGACTCAAGACATTTCAACGATGCTGAAACCATTAAGGCTGTAGGGACTCTTGAAGGTGGACTAAACATGATTTGTGAGAAGACCATAGGCTTTCAGGGCGCCAGTAGAATGCTATTGAATCTGAGATGTTCCTCACAAGCTCATGTTTTAAATACTTGATCGATCCCCTGCTGGTGGTGGATTTGGGAGAATTTTTGGAGGTGGGCCCTGGCTGGGGAATTGGGTCACTGGAGGCTGGTCCTTGGGAGTATATTATCTCTGGCCACATCCCATCGTGCTCTCTGCTTCCTGGCCCGTCATCATATGAACTGAACTGCCTTTGCCATGCCTTCTCTGTGTGATCGATTGAGCCCTCTGAGGCTGTGAGCCAAAATACACCTTCCTTCCTGAAGTTTGTTAGGCATTTTGTCACAGTGACAGAAAAATATCTTCTACCATAAAACCCTGGGTCATGACTGGCTTTTAATGTTCTTTTAAACTCTGAGAAAGTACAAGGGAGACAGATACCCTGGCCTGAGCAGTTCCAGGAGGCGCAGGCAGGAAGTCAAGGCGGATACTGGAATGTTTGCTTTTCAGGGATTTGTTCCCTTGGCCCCTTTGGAATGTTTGCAGTCTGGAGTGGTTTGCACAGAAAGCCCCTTGCTCTCTTTGGCTTCAACACCCCCCACCCCCACCCCCACCAAAACATTCACACTCATTCTCTCCCTCCCTTCTCTTTGTTCTACCCCTTAATCAATTTGCAAGTCTCTTCAGCCTTGGAGTGTGACACTCACTGCAACAGTATTTTCAGCCAGTCCTTCCCCTTATTTTCAAGGCTTCTGAGAGGTGTGCAGGGGAAGGGCAGGCACCCTGTGAAATGCACCCCCTTATTCCCTCTGGGGCAACATGTGATGGATCCAGGAGAAGGCTGCCTGTGACTGCAGTGCAGAACAGCTGAGCTGAAAACCTATCACTCTTATCCTTGAAAAGCAGACAGAGCCTTTCTTTATAAAAGACAAAGAAAGGTTAAAAAAAAAATACTTCTTCCAAAAAGCTTTTCCTACTCAATTGACCTGTGTTGAATCCAGAGTTTGAGCTTTACTCTCAAAATGTCATCCCCCTACTCGGGTCAGCACACATCCCATGTTAGGAAGACAGACAGGACAGAGGAAACGATGTTCTTTTATTTGGTACTATACCAGCATTGTGCATGCGTTTATTCCTATGAGTGTAATATGGAGCTGAATTCCATTCTGGTTCCCCCAGCAGGACAGGATGTATCTAAGACATCTCTGGGAAGGAATGCCTTATTGGAGACCTCTCCCTACATACCAACCACAGCAGGAAGGAAAGCAAAGCTGCAGCAGGGTTCGTGCAATGAAAATGGCTGGGCTCACAACCACAGGGAGGGTGAGTGAGAAACCTAAGCAAACCAGCACTGCGGCAGCCCACCCATCAGTCTGCACATGAAGGGGTATGCAAGGGTCTTGCGCTTTCTGGGGTCCTAGGCCTGTCCTGAAACACTGGCATCACACCATGGTCATGACCTTCAGGGCTGCTGGCTGGAACCTGCGGATCTTCTTCTTCAGGGCCTTGGAGGCCTTGATGCGGCACAGTTTGGGTACAGGGGGCAAGGATGGTCTGGTGCCTCCTGGGGCCCGTGGAGACTGCTGGAGGGGCACCCAAGGCCAAGCCTGCTCCCCCTGCCCAGCCTCTGCACCTCTTATTCCCAGGCCACCGCGGATGTTCTGGACACAGCCTTCTGAATCGTTGCTACTGGATTCGTCCCCAAAGCGGTTGGCAGTGTGGTCACTGGCCTCCTCGTCCTCGCTGGTTTCGGCAATGGTAGAGTGGAATAGCGAGGAACACTCAGCCGAGTGCTCTGAGGGCTCTGACTCACTCTTTGCACAGGCATCCTGGCGGGCAAGCATGGGCCTGCTCTGGGCTGGGGGACCACCGGCTCTCCTGGCTGGGGACCTAGGGGGCCCTAGGCTGGGCCCAGGACGGCTGGCCAAGCGGGCTTTGGCTGAGATCTCCATAGTAGACTGCCACCTGCGCTGCTTTCTCCTGGCTGCTGAGCCGAGGGGGGATGCCTCCATTGGGAACAGAGACTGGGATGCTGGGTAACCTTCCTGCTGGGCCACCACTAGCGGGACAAAGAAGGGCACAGGGTAGAGGGTAGACTCAGAGCAAGAGCGTCCAGAAGGCTCTCTGGCCAGTGTGGGCCCCCTGCTGAGCCCTCCCCTCTGGGGCCTGGATGAGGGGTCCCACTCTGGAGGCACCACAGCATGGATGCCCCGCTGTCTCTCAGCCTGTGGTGGAAGCTGCTTCCCCAGCCTTGGCACTTTGTCACTTACTCTTCCTCTGACCTTCATGGCTTTGCTTTGGGGAGAGCCCATCGACAGCTTCATTGGGGAGTTCTCACCAGTGGTGCAGGACGGGTAGGCAAAGGGCCCTGGGGCCAGAGTGGGGCTCTCAGGGCCCAGCACCCTGGTTGGTGACAGGACTTGTCCTTGGCCATAGTCATTGTAGGGCCTCTGGGCCTGGGAGCAGAGAGAGGAACCTACAGTACTGTCTCCACGGACACAAGGATTCCAAGGTGTGGTTTCCTCCTTTAGGGGGCTGCTGAGGGGCTCAGTATCCACAAGGGACACAGGCCGCTGTTGCTTGAGGCTGTCCTTGGCAGCATCTCTACTTGGTTTCATTTTTCCCCTGTCCATTCCAAAGTTCAGCTTCTCGAGCTGGCCTCCACTGTCTGACCCCTGGTCACAGGGCTTCCGTGGGAAAGGAGGCGTGTCACTCCCCTGCTCCTGCAACACATCTCTCAGAGGGAGCTCTTGGCCCCGCAGACGCAATAGCCGGTGGATGTAGGCTTCGGCTGAGCCCAGCTCATGGATCGGCCCAGTTTGAGTCTTGTTCTGATCCACAGGGACCAAAGTAGTCTCCTGGGGAGGCGAGTAGATGTCAAGACTTGGCGCCTCTTTAGGCAGAGCAAAGAGGGGGCTCTGCAGAGCCACTGCATGTAGGGGGCTGGGATATGGGTACACCTCCTGGCCACCCCGGGCCACGAGATCACGCTGGTACTTAGGGTCCAGTGCGTGGGCTGGGACTTCTATTCCCTGGCAGAGGAGGGATGAGGATGCAGCATCAGAAACAGCTCTCTGAAGCCCCAGGTCATCTGGGAGGACTCTCTCAAGATCACCTGGGAATGAGACCACGAAAAGCACATCAACACAGATGTCAAGTCCCTGGTCCCCACAGACGCACATGGAGGCACTACTCCTGTGGGTACTGGTACCTGCTCTTCAGTGAGAGTGAGCAGGAGGTGTCATCTTGGAGCCTCCAGTTAACCACGGCTTGGAGGCTCCCTGGGGAAAAATGTCTACAGCCATTTATGGGACAGTCATACTAGGTACTGCTGCAGCTTTCACAGCTGGGGACCCTCACCACAGAGAGACCAAGGCTGCACAGAGCCTAGGTGTGGGGGTATCCAAGTGACATTTTTTTCTCTCAGGAAAACATGAAGGGTGTTTGTGCCTTGATTCTCACTTTAAATGTGGCATATCGAATGATTGGAATGCTTTTCTGAGCTTCTGGGTGTTTATTTAAAACAAGAAAACCACACACACACACACACACACACACACACACACACACACACACACACACACACACTCACAAGCACTCCATGTGGGATCAGCCTCTTCCCCAGTGGGCCCAGGCACCATCATCTGCTGTTCCTGTCACCCAAATGACACTGGTCTTGCCCTCCCCTGCCTCTCTCTCTCACCTGTAGACACTGGTCTGGGCCGGAACATGCCCCTTGGCCGGCCTGTGTCTTCTGCACCATACAGGAGCCTGCTGTCTTCTCTACTGAGCTGTGAGTTCCATGCAGGGACAGTGGTCTCATCGGCAGAGCGGGGTCGCCAGTCCCCTATGCCAGACCTCGATTTAGAGGGCTGAAACACAGGCAGCCAGCTGCCCAGTGATGGGGAGAGGCGGTCACTGCAAACAGATGCACATGAGGTGGACAAGGAGCAGGAACCAGCATCACTCAGCTCGTAGAAGCCTGGACAGAACACACACAGCAGTCAGGGCACTCCTGGTCAGTGGGTGCTACCCCAAAGATCCCTTTTCCATGCTTTCACTGGCACAGGAAGGGGTGAGGGGCTGATAAGAATGCCTGTGGGGACAGGCCCACAACAAGAATGTTCCAGAGTGGCTACAGGAACAACCGACTCTACCTCACCTGAACCCCATAGCTATACTCAGGAGACCTTCCTTTGCTTCAGGCACCTCCTTTCTTTAACATTAAACTGCATAGGGCATTTCCTTCTTGGGAGTCCTCAGCCCCAGGGACTGCTGGGTGCCTAGCATATCCAGGGCTAGACTGCCAAACCCAAGTACCAAGAGTGCCAAGGGGACTCCAAACACTCCAGGTTTGCTGTCAGAGATACCTTGTGACCACTGTGACCCAGACACAGGAGATCCTGTTTCTAAGTTTCACCTGGAGAATACTGAGGAAACAAAAGTGACCATAGCCACACAAGCCAGCAGACTGCCAACAATGACCTTCTGTGAACTCTGGGATGAAGCATGGGAAGAGAGGGGCATCCTTGTGTGATTGGCTGGCAAGTTTTACTGATGTAAATGGTCTGTAAAATAGTCATTCGCATGGTCCATGAACCTCCAGTAAAATCAGCAGCTCCTGGGGGGTGTCTAATTTAATACATAAACTGGTAGTCTACATATATATATATAATTATATTTATATTTTTCTCTCTCAGAATGTTTAGCTAAAGCTTTTTCATGTCTTTAGTTACATGCACTTCCCAGGCTGCTCAAGGGACCTCCCAAGTGTCAGATCAGCTGAGGACACAGGCTGAAGCTGTCACTCTTCGCAATGTTAAGTCAGATAGGGTCTGTGAAGGGTGACAATGAATGCTGTATTGTCTTCCTGGAGGGCGGGGTCCAGGCAGCCTGGCTCCCCAATGTCTGGTCACTATCAGCCATACCTGAGCTGGGCCTGCTGTCACTATCCAGTGCCTCACAGGATGACCTGCTTACATCCAGCTGCAGTTCGCTTATCTGTTGGTCCAGCTGGTCCAAGTGAGTCTTCAAGCCAGCATCTTGTCGCCTTAACCGTGACTGGGAGGCAAGAAAGGAGAAAGCAAAGAATCTTATGTAAATACAGAGATCTAAACCAAGGTCCAAGGTTGAAACAGGGCCATGTGGACACCAGGAATTCCCCAAACTTCCAACTCATATTAACTCATGGGAAGCAACTCCCTGGGTCTGCTGGAATGGACAGAAAGGATTTGTCATCCCTTGGCATACACACACACACACACACACACACACACACACACACACACAGAGTCAAGCAGATAGTCCTTCACACAGCATCTCCATGGTCTATGGTATCTGGAAGTGGGCAGTTTGACAGGAAACCCCAGCTTCACTTGGAAAGCCTGCCCTGAGGAGCCTTATATAGCAAGCTTTGTCCCCAGAGGTTGGGTCTTTTTTTATGCCTTAGTCCCCAGGTACGTAGCCAGAAACCACACACACACCCACACACACACACACACACACACACACACACACAGTTCACATGAAGTGGAGGCAGTTGTGTATACACATAACTAATCAGTACTGAGTGTTTGGTAAAAACTTATTTCTTTCAACTGTGCAGTCTCCCTGATTTCCAGGTCGGCTGCATACATATTTTTTTTCTTTAATTAACAAGTAAAACCCAGGAACATGTCTCAACTGTGGAAGAACATGACCATTACTTTTCTAGCAGGGAGCTAACTCAGAAATCACCAGCAGAGCAAGGACTTTCCGCAAAGAGCCAGGGTGAACTGAGTGGGATGCTGGCCTGGGTTGGCGCAGTTGCCAATCTCAGCCGGCTCGGCTTTTCCCCCAGGAGCTGACTTGGGGTGGGATCCACCTCCGGGTGTACTTGCCCTCACAGTAAAGAGATATTCTGAAGAGACAATGGGCACCAAGAAACTGGAATTTCCCCAGAATCTCATCCAGGGAGAAAGACAACGCTGGAGTCAGGGCCCAGCTGGAGCCAAAGCTTGTCTCTGTTCTGACAAGTCACCTACCCCTTCCAGGCACCTGAGATAATGACAGGCAGAATCACACCCTGACCAGGATTGCCTGCCTCTTGCTTCTTTCAAATCTAAAAGGGCACTCAGGTCAGTACCCTAAAGATGGACGTGGTGGGGAGTCACCAAACCTTTTTATTTGCTCCTCTTCCCAACATGGACACAGAGAATACATGCCCCTTTTCAGCTTTTCATTAGGACTCACCTGTTTGAGGATGGGTGGCTCAGCTGGTATTTTAGGGCTGCTAGGTCCCAGACTCTGACCCTAGTTCTACTAACACAGGGTCTGAAGGGTGAAGGGTATCTGAGAGCAAAAGTATCTCCTATCACCACCCATGTCACAGCTGAGCACAATTTCCCAGAACCTGCTTCCACCACAAACTCTTTCCCAGAGACAACCGGGGCAGAGACCACAGTCAGGCCCTTTCCACCCACTCAGAAACTGGCCCTAGACCCATCAAAGGGCTGACATGCATTTTCCCTGTAAAAGATTTTTCTCTGCCCCACCTGAAAGTCATGGGGCCCACAGACGCCATGCACCTTTGCCAGCACTAGTCTAATGAGTGACAGCATCTATATCTAGCCCACTTCCCTTCTTCAGAGACCTAGCTGGTTGTCCTCTTCTAAAGGTTGGCCCCTATGTGCTCATTGGGACCAGCTGCTCTGCAGATAACATCTGCCCAGCCAGCCTCAGCAGCTAGTCTCTAGTTAATGTTGAGGTCTTAAGACCTCAGGGTCCTCAGGGCTCTGCTGTAAGCTCACCACTGGGATTGATGCCACTCTAATTAACACTCCCTCTACCCTTAGTTCAGGTTTCCATCACTGTTCCTTAGGTTGAACTTCAGGGTCAAAGCCTCTGTGACCAGGACAGAGCACAGCTGGCTACAAAGCCAGACTAAGGCACTCTTCCTAGAACCAAGCCCGTCTATGGTCTGCAAGCCTCATGCTGACTTCAAGATTTCCCAGGGCACTTGGGTCAGAACCCCCACCTCCAAGCGGGCTCTTGCTATGTAATGCTCTGAGATAGGTATGTATAGGACCTTGTACCTTCATCAGCTAAGTCTGGTGACCCACCACCAAATGTCTGAGACCTGCCATTCCATGGTGCCACTAAAAAGGTAGCTGGGTGACTCCTTTAAAGCTCATACCATTGCATAGAACTTGATCTGAATTCTTTGTACCTTCCCCCACAGACACTTCCACTCTGAAACCCCAGCATTTAAAAAAAAAAAATCTTGATGGTGTATTTGAGGGACAAAAAGTTCAGGATGTAGAGATGGTATCTAAGACACTTCCTTCCTCTCCTTGAATGCTAATTGTGAACAAAGGAAATGTTTTATGCATGAATTACCCCCTTGATGGCCTCCTGCAAACTTCACACAGCAAGGGCTCACTGGCTCATGCATGAGATTGACAGTGACCCTGGAGAAGTCTGTCAGGTTCAGGCCCTTGCTCCTGACCTCATCTGTTTCTCATCTGACCTCCATCTGCCCCCTATGTGCTCATAAAGCAAGCTGGTTGGGCCAAAGAAAACACCATTGACGGTTACGGAATCAGTGTGGCTTGCTCTGGTGGCATCACTGCCTGAGCCTGCCAGGGAAAGGGATGGCTGCATGTTGTCACTTTTAGAACAAGTCATGACCAGTCAATCCCTGCAGGATGATCCTCATATTGGTCTGTGTCAGTCTCCTGTCCCAGGACACCTCTTCTGGATGTGGCTGAAGCAAGATAGACTGTTACAGCTTCTTGGCATGGTGCCAGCCCCTGGGTGCTATCCTACTTAAGCTCACTTATGGGAGTGAAAATGCTCACCAGTTCCTGAGATTAGTTCCCTTGAAAACACTCATGGGGGCAGCCTAAAGGGCCACCTGCAGCAGACTTTGGGGTTAAGGGTAAGAGGGCTTGTGATTTCATCAGCAAAGAAGTCTGGAATAAGGTGCTGAAACCACCTTTTTTTTTTTTTTTTTTGTCTCAGCCATTAAGAGTCCCTGATTTATCTCACCAACAAAATTCCCCTAAGCAGCTACTGCTGAGTTCCCTTTGTGAGTTTTGACACAGCAATTAGCAGGGTGTGTAGCCCATCTGATGATCACTAAATCCCTAGAAATGCTAAACCCATCCTCCCTGGAGAATCCCCGCAGGATAACTGAGGACTCCAGCTTCACACCTGAATGGTGACCCAGGGCCAGGTGAGCCAGCAGGAGGGCTGAGTTCTATCTAGTTCCTGAAGGGTTTAGCTGGACTGCACTGCAGCCCTTTCATTATTTTCTTTATCTAACACGTACCATTGCTCCTAACCCCTCCCCCAGCCCGTAAGAAAAAAAATGTTGAAGTGCTAAGTGCTGCCTAAAGAAAGCCACATAAACTATTTTTCTCTTTTCCCGTGAACCAAGTTTCATGACAAAGCCCTAGTGTTCCTTCTAGTCTTGGGGTGGAGTGGGGTCAACAAACAGGTCGTTTGAAGCCTCCAAAGACTGCTGGTGATTGCAGTGTGAGGGCTCACAGATTGGGTCTGTGTATTGCTGAAATGGAGTTAATCATCAACCTCAAGGGAACGGGTCATGCGTGTAAACCGTCAGTGAGCCTGCCTGGTTGAGGTCACGTTAAGTGGAGTGCGTAGCCTCTTCAGACGACAAGCACCTGTTGTAATACCTTGGTCCTCGAGTGGGTGCAACAGTTTGCAGGGTCCAGCCCACACCAGCCATGTCTCTCTCTGGGCAGCTGAGAGTCTCACAGACTGCAGGAGGCTGCCAGCTGGGTTCCACCCTCAGCCAGTTCTCTACCTCTTTCTGACACCCAAGGACGTTTCCAGGTGTCCTGGGGAGTGACTCAGAGGCTGGACTTCCTGATTTTTGAATCACAAGCCCAACAAACACACTTCTGAGCTAAAGCTGATTGGAGCACAACAGTTTCATCTTGGACTTTTAAGGAGAGGCAACTCTCAAAAGGAAAAAAAAAATAAAGAGGCAACTCTCAACAGGGGATGCCCAAATTTCCCCATGAAAAAAAAAAAAAAAATCCCACAAAGAGCTATGGATGCGACTCCATCACACCCGAGAGCATTATTTTATTCTTTTCAAAATACTGCAGCGTTGGGCGGTGGTGATGAAAGCTTTTAATTCCAGCACTTGGTAGGCAGAGGCAGGAGGTTCTCGAGTTCGAGGCCATCCTGGTCTACAAAGAGAGTTCCAGGACAGCCAAGGCTAAACAGAGGAACCCTGTCTCGACAAACAACAACAACAACGACAAAACCCAACAACAAAAATACAACACTGCAGTACTGCAAAACATCTTGAGCTGTTTCTAGAAGCTCATTGTAATTCTACTCCTGGAAGGCCCCCAGTGGTCTAAAGAGAACTCAATGGGCGAGGGTGGCTGAGAAAGCACCACGGATCATCTCTCCACGTTCCTCAGACTGGAGGACACTCGTATTGTTTTTGTTTTTGTTTTTGTTTTTAAACGGATGAGGTGTTACGCAATCTTGAAGACGGTCCTCAGCCTGCAAGACTACCCAGTGACGCAAGCGAACCTAGCAGTGCCCTGCTGTACACGCCACGCTGCGCTCCCGGGATGAGGCCAGAGTCCACGCATCCCCACCACAACAACACTGCGCCTAGCCCGACTTGCGCACCTCCG